GTATGAGTTCTTTGTAAATTTTGAAGATTACACTCTTACCTGAAATAGCATTGGCAAATATGTTCTCCCATGCGGTGGGATTTTTTTTTTTTTTTTTTGCTGTTTTGTTGATGGTTTCTTTTGCTGTACAGAAGCTTTTTATTTTGATGTAGTCCCATTTGTTTATTTTCTCCTTAGTCTCCATTGCACTGGGAGCTATGTCTATAAAGATATTGCTACAACATATGTCTGCTATTTTGCTATCTATTGAGTCTTGTAGGATTTTTATGGTTTCCCAACTTACATTCAAGTCCTTTAGCCATTTTGAGTTTATTTTTTGTGTATTGTGTACATTGGTGATCTAGTTTCATTTTTTTTTTTTTGCATGTATCTGTCCAAATTTCCCAGCACCATTTATTAAAGAGACCGTTTTGACTCCATTCTATGCTCTTGCCTCCTTTGTCAAATATTAATTGAGCATAATGGCTTGGGTCAATTTCTTGGTTCTCTGTTTGGTTCCATTGGTCTATATGTCTGTTCTTGTGCCAGTACCAGGCAATTTTGAGAACTGTGGCTTTGTAATATAAATTGATATCTGGTAATGTGATCACTCCAACTTTGTTCTCCTTTTTCAGGATTGCTGTGGCTATTCGGGGTCTTTTTTTTATATTCCAGATGAATTTTTGGAGAGTTTGTTTTAGATCTTTGAAATATGCCATTGGTATTTTAATGGAGATTGCATTGAATCTGTATATTGCTTTGGGTAGTATGGACATTTTAATGATGTTGATTCTACCAATCCATGAACATGCTAAGTTCTTCCATTTGTTTATGTCTTCCTTTATCTCTTTTTCAATGTCCTGTAGTTTTCTGAGTACCGGTCTTTTACTCCCTTAGTTAAGTTTATTCCTAGGTATCTTAATTTTTTTTTGGTGCAATGGTAAATGGGATTTTTTTTGTTTGTTTGTTTCTCTTTCCGTGAGGTAATTATTGGTGTATAAAAAGGCCATAGATTTTTTGGGTGGTAATTTTGTATCCTGCTACATTGCCAAATTCATTTACTAAGTCTATTAGTTTCTTGATGGAGTCTTTGGGGTTTTCTATGTATAGTATCACATCATCTGTGATTAAGGACAGTTTTACATCTTCTTTTCCAATTTGGATGTCCTTTTTATTTCTTCTTCTTGTCTGATGACAATGGCTCGCACTTCCAGTACTATATTGAACAGGAGTGGTGAAAGTGGGCATCACTGCCTTGTTCCTGTTCTTAGGGGAAATGAGTTTAGTTTTTGCCTATTGAGTATGATATTGGCTTGTAGGTTTGTCATATAAAGCTTTTATTATGTTGAGGTATGACCCCTCTATTCCCATTTTCCTGAGGGTTTTTATCAAGAAAGGATGTTGGATTTTGTCAAATGCTATTTCTGCATCAATTGATATGACTATGTGATTTTTATCTCTCAATTTGTTTATGTGATGTATTACATTTATTGATTTGCAGATATTGTACCATCCTGCATCCCTGGAATAAATCCCACTTGGTCATGGTGTATGATCTTTCTAATGTAATGCTGAAACCTATTTGCTAGAATTTTGTTGAGATTTTAGCATCTATGTTTATCAAGGATATTGGTCTGTAGTTCTCTTTTGTTGTGATGTATTTATCTGGTTTGGGATTAAGGAAATGCTGGCTTCATAGAAAGAACTTGGAAGTGTACCTTCCTATTGAATTTTTTGGAATAATCTGAGGAGGATAGGTTTTAGTTCTTCTTTGAATGCTTGGTAGAATTCCTCTGTAAAGCCGTTCTGACCAGGGCTTTTGTTTGCTGGAAGATTTTTTTTATCACTGCTTCAATTTCTTTGGTAGTTATTAGCCTATTCAGGTTTTTTTATTCTTCTTGATTGTGTTTTGGGAGCTTGCATTTTTCTAACAATATGTCCATTTTGTCTAGGTTGTCCATTTTGTTGGAATAGAGCTGTTCATGGTATTTTTCATAATCATTTGTATTTCTGTGGGATTTGTTGTTACTTCACCTCATTCATTTCTGATTTTGCTTATTTGGGTTCTCTCTCTTTGCTTCTTGGTGATCCTGGTTAGAGGTTCATCAATCTTGTTTATCCTTTCAAAGAACCAGCTCTTGGTTTTGTTGATTTTTTGTATTGCTTTTTTGGACTCTATATCGTTTATCTCTGCTCTGATCTTTATAATTTCCTTCCTTCTACTTATGCTGGGCTTTTCTTGTTGCTCTCTTTCTAACTCTTTGAGTTGTAGGGTTAGATAATTTATTACTATTTTTTTCTTGTTTTTTGAGATAGGCCTGTAGAGCTATGATCTTCCCTCTCAAGATTACTTTCACTGTGTGTCCCATAGATTTTTGATTGTTGTGTTTTCATTGCCATTTGTTACAAGGATGCTTTTTATTTCCTCTTTGATCTAGTTGGCAAACCAATCATTGTTTAATAGCATGCTATTTATCGTCCAGGTGTTTGATTTTATTTGTTTTTATTGTAGTTGATTTCTAGTTTTATGCCATTGTGATCTGAGAAGATGCTTGATCTAGTGAGTCATTTAGGATTGATGTTTCTTTGCTTCTTTTATGTTTAGAGGATTTGTCCAGTGGTTTTAGTGGGTTACTAAAGTCCCCTACTATTATTGTATTACTGTCAACCTCTCCCTTGATATCCTTCAGAAGTTTTTTTATGCATTTTGTTGCTCCTGTATTGGATGCATATATGTTTACCAGAATTATATCTTCTTGTTGAATTGCTCACTTTAGTATTATGAAGTGGCCTTCCTTAACTCTTCTTATGGCCTTCATTTTGAGGTCTAATTTGTCAGATATAAGTATTGCTACCCCAGCTTTTTTTTCCATTTTCATTTGCCTGAAAACCCTTTTTCCACCCTTTCACCATCAGTCTGTGTGAATCCTTTGTTCTGAGATGGGTGTCCTCTAGACAGCAGTTATGTGGAAAATGTTTTCTTATCCACTCAGCTACCCTATGTCTTTTGATTGGGGCATTTACTCCATTTACATTTAAAGTTATTATTGACAGGTACTTCTTTGTCCCCATTTTTATTCTTTACTCCTGTGTTCCTTCTTCCCTTCCTATTTCTTTTTACAGAAGACCCTTTAGCATTTCTTGCATTGTAGGTTTGGTTGTAATAAATTCCATTAGTCCTTTTTTGTCTGTGGAGCTCCTGATTTCACCCTCAATTTTGATTGATAGCCTTGCTGGGTACAGTATTCTTGGATTCAGACCCTCCTTTACAGGAGTTTGTATATTTCATTCCATTCCCTTCTGGCCTGTGTTTCTGTTGAGAAATCAGTTGCTAGTCTGATGAGGGATCCTTTGTAGGTAACTTTCTGTCTCTCTCTCTGGCAGTCTTTAAGATTTTTACTTTGTCATTAGTGTTTGCCAATTTAATTATAATGTGTCTTGGTGTCGGTCTTTTGGAGTTCATCTTGTTTGGGACTCTGTGAGTTTCTTGGACTTGTGTGAGTTTTTTCTTTCCTATATCAGGGATGTTTTCTGTCATTATTTCTTCAAACAGGTTTTTTAGTCCTTGCTCAGTTTCCTCTCCTTTTGGCATCCCTATAATGCAGATGTTGTTTCATTTCACTTTGTTCCAAAGTTCCCTTATGCTCTCCTCCTATTTTTTAAAGTTTTTTTCTAGATGCTGCTCTGCTTGGGTATTTTCTCCTACCTGGTCTTCTTGCTCACTGATGCAGTCCTCTACTTCTTCTAGTGTACTGTTGATGCTTTCTATTGAGTTCTTTATTGCATCTATGTCATTTTTTTTTTCATTTCTTCTTGGTTCTTCTTAATTTCCTCTTGGTTCTTACACATATTGTTGAATTTGTCTTCCATCCCTTTCAGTGACCTTATGACTATTGCTCTGAATTCTTTTTCTGACATATTGCTTGCCTCCATTTCATTTACTTCCTCTTCTGTGATTAACTCATCTCTGGGTGTCTGGTTATGTAGCTCTCTCTCTCCTTTCTCTAGGCCATATCTGACCTTTCCATCCATGGTTTGCCTCAACAGCTGTGTTTAATTCACCTATTCCAGTGGGATGTTATTTGATTTAGCTGTTCTTTCTATCTGCTCTGTGAGAAGGTGTAGGGCTCATCCGCATATTTGCACCACTTTGTCTGCCTCTTGACAGGTTTTTTAGGTGCCTTCAGTTGGGGATGATATAGTCCAGGTGTTCATGGGTTTGTAGCTGAGGCAACTGGTCCCTGGGCATTGTGGTTGTAGGGTCCCATGAGGTATCCAAGGTCTCCCCAGTTGAAAGTAAGGCTGGGCTTCAGATCACAGCCACTCTCCCCTTCAAGATGGTGCAGTCTCTGTGGCAGAGACGGCTGCTCTGGGAGAGATTTCAGCAGCAGTAGAGGCTGCCCAGCCAGGGGAGCCCAGTACGACAGTCCTTTGGAATATAGCTGTCCCTCACTCACAAATACATATACTCCCCAGAAGTCCATACACTTTCCTTTTGTTCTCTCACTCACACACTATCTTGCAGCCTGCCATCTCGTTGGCAGCCATCTTGGATCTCTGCTGTGTCTTTTTTGTATGAATGGCTCAGCCTTCAGAATTTCCTAAAGTCTTTCATGCAAGTAGCAGCTGGACTCAGTGTGCCCCATACCTCTGATAAATGGGCCCACGCCTGGCACTAGCAGCAGCTTGCCAAGATTCACAGCTTGGTCTCTCCTAGGAAACTCTAAGCCCAACACAAGTAGCAGTCATCTGCAGATGACTCTGTAGCTCATGCTTGGTGGCCCCAAGTATCCTAATAAAAAGAAAAAGAGAGTGTGGGAATTTCAATATTGCTCCACCTAAAAGAAATAATAAACCATCCCACTAAGTAAATCCAAATTTAGACATATAAGAATCTGGAAGAGAATATCCAATACACATATCACAAATACACACAGCAGGAATTATGGGAAATATTTCAAGGATGCCATTTTCCGCCTACTGTCTCACTGATGGCTTGATTGCATTTTTTTTTCCTGCAGCTACCTGCTCCCTGATGATAGAAAAGTCACCAAGCACAAAACTCTGGTAATAAAAAGGAGTGTTAACCCTCAGTGGAATCATACTTTCATGTTCTGTGGCCTGCATCCCCAGGATATAAAGAATGTTTGCCTAGAACTTACCATCTGGGACAAGGAGGCCTTTTCTAGCAACATCTTTCTGGGAGGAGTTCGTTTGAATTCTGGAAGTGGTGAGGGACTCGGGAACCCTGATTTGGTCTGTGACTCTGCATGGGGTTTAGGAGTGGTTCCTGAAGGTGTGATATGTAGTAGGTATATATTTAACTTCAGCACAGCTGACTCCTTAATTTCCACAGATGTCCCATGCCTTTAACCAATGATCTGTTCATTTTTAAAATAAATATACTACTTCACAACTTTACAGATATGTCCTTCAACTAGAAGTTTGGGATGCATAATTTTTATTTTCATTCTTTTCACAAAGTATAATTTACACTTTAAGTGAATTTCAACTGCTTTTTTGGGCCTTACTTCAGGTTTTGCCCAGGAGAGGATCACCAGACAACACAGACTCTGTTAGGAGAGAGGATGTCCAAGACCAACTTTATTTCGTCCTCTTCTCATCCCTGTCCATAATTTGCAGCCATTACTCACACTAGTTAAAACAAATAATTTTCCCTGAAAACTAACATCTGATGTTTTGCAAACAGACCATGGAAACACACCACAAGACACAAGTATATGGGGAAAATTATAGTAGTGAAGCACATGCAGACCCCAAACTCAGTATTCTGTAGCTTGGTCCAGACATACGTGTTCTGCATGCACCATGGTCAACATTCCTGTTAAGAATAAACCCACCCCTATGATGATCAACTTATTATAGATTAAGGAGAGCCTAGAATATCTATACCAGTAAAGTGAAAACTCCCCAGATCAAAGAACTGGAGTTGTTAGAAAAAAAGAGCACCAGAGCCTTGTTCAGTCTTTTATTCTGTCATGTAAACTCAATCCAGATGAACTAGCTCTCTGCAAACTACCAAAGTGGGGAAGAAAGGAGCTACGAATACCATTTCTATTGTTTCTCATCATCTATGCAGAACAGAGTAGTGCAGGCTGTAAAAGCTATATTTCACTCAACACCATTCACTAGATATAGTTAGTGAGAACAAGTCAGTGAAGGGCTCTGTAATCAAAAGGCCCCCTCAGAGGTTACTAAATATCTTCCAGAAGACCAAAACATTTAATATGTGAAGAGTAATATTTCTATTTTCCTTTTTAAGGTGTGAGCCATGGGAAGACTGTGGATTGGATGGACTCACAGGGGGAAGAACAACACCTTTGGCAGAAGATGGCCGACAATCCTGGGACTCCTGTAGAGGGTATACTCATGCTTCGTTCCAGCATGGGGAAGCGTCAGCTCTGAAGGTACCATTCTCCAAAATGAGACATCCTGAGACTGTTTGGCTGTCATTTTCTCCCAGTAGCAGGCTTGGGTCCTGAACTTATTCTTCCCTGGCATTTCTCACTTGAGGGCATTAGGACATGAGGGGAGAGATATCAGAGTGATGAACATGTAGGGTCTTGCTGAAAGTCTAAAAAAGCATGTACCATTATATGTCCGTGGCCCATGGACATCTTGATTGGATGATAGAAAGTGTACCACATTGTTCTGTCAACAAGCAAATTGTGTAATGATTATAGGCTTTACACCATAAGGGAAATGGTTGGTGCAAGCTTATTTGACACTATAGTTCTCTTGGGAATCCCACACTTTTTCTAGTTATTAGTTACTTTAGGTTTCCTCAAATGGTTTGAGGGAAAATGGGGCTACTCAGAATGTAGATCACTTGAAGAGTAAGAAGAAGGAATACTGACTACCCTTTCCTCATCCTGGGAATCCCCATGATTCAAAGAAGGTATGTGGGGATGGTTGCTGAGGCCAGGGAGTTGCCCTGTTATTTTAGCAATTATGTGGCTCACCCAGGTAAGTTTTCAAGTTTTTCTATCGTGACTATATAATTTATAATCTAAATAAACCCACCTTTGATAGTGAAGGAAGCTAAATTAATATACCAGAATGACAGATAAACCAAGATTGACCTGGGGGAATTTGGATATAGGGTCACCCTAGTTATGACCTACCTACAGAGTTCTGTTGCAAACATATATTTTATAAAATGTTCTAAGCCATTATTTGAAAGGGAATAAGAAATAATGTATACTGGGAGCAATGTTTTCATCATGTCTATTGATACTCCATTGGTCAAAGGAAGTCACATGGCCCAGCCCAAAATCAAGAGGCAGGGAAATACATTCTGCTCATAATGAAACCTTGGGGAGAGTGAGGATGCAGGAAGGAATGAAGAATCATGGCCAATAGTTCAATCTACCATACTTTCTGTCACCTGGAATTCCAGATGCTTAACCAACCAAACTTAGATGCAAAGGTTGTTAAAGCTGAAAGGTACCTCAGACCTGATTCCACATTTTTCAGATTCCAAGTCTGAACCCAGAAAACTGAAATGACATGCCCACAATCATATAGAAGCTGTGACTCCTGTAGAGGATTAGGACTTAAATCCAGCATGTAACTCCTAGGCCAGTGTTCTTTCCACTGAAGTCCTTGGCATCATCCTATGCTTATCATGGTGGACAGGAACACATAGATGAAGGAAAGTGGAGCAAATTCTCATTATTTACCTATGAAAATACTCCACCTAGTCTTTTTCTGGAGTCATATTTTAGCCCCTCCGCTTATTTTTTCATTTGAATTCATATAAAATCCCTAAGAAGATAGTAACTGATTTTTAGTAATAGGGAAACTAGAATCATCTTCTGGTTTATTCTAGCTCAATTCTCCATATTCTAAATTTTTTCTTGAATATGGAAAGCAGATTCAATAATATATTTAGTATTATTCTTAGAGAATAAGCAATCCATTTTAAATATTATTTAAAATAGACTAATTCTAAAAAATTGAAGTTAGTGGTCTAGTGAAGCTTAGTACATATAGTATATTTTTTTGAAAAAACTCACACCTATATCTCTGTCACCTTTCTTGAAAACAGAAAACAAAAAATTTAAAATCATCATTTTCTGTATTGGAAAAATAGTCATCAAACTTGATGTGATTCATTCTGTCTTCAAAGGCATTTTTAAGGGAGGTGAAAGGGTGATGATGGCAAACTCTGGAGACATCTCTAAAGTAGACAAATAAAGTGGATTTCTTCACTAATAATGAAAGTGGAAAAGTAATATAGTCCACAATTTATATCTTGAACTCAAGACAAGCATGAACATTTTGTTCAAATCTTCACCACATTTAGAGCAATTCACTGTATTTTATAAAAACCAACATCTAACTAGGCATTCCCATGATGCAAAACTCAGGTATACATCAGAAATCTGTTGGTGTTGCTCTCAGAAATAAAAGATAAGTTAATCTTTAAGTCACACTTTTTTTTTTTTTTTTACTAAGTATGGTGTAGAAGTACAAAGAACATTTTTAAATAATGGTAATACATGTGAATGAAAACAAATTCAAATAATTCAAAATTGTGAAAAGTAAGTCGTCCTTTCTCCCCTTGCATATCAGAATATATTGACAGCCTCATTCTTTTTTATGGCTACATGGTAGTACATTATAGAGATACATCAGATTTATTTAACCAATCCTATCAAATGTCATTTTAAATATGGTTAGCTAAATTGTCTATGTTTAGTGGCTTTTCTAAGCAGTCTTTTCTTTTCAAAAATAAATACTTTGAAATTAAAAATGAGGGGTGTGTGTGTGTACGTGTGTGTGCACAAAATGTAGCAATTTAACTTTGGGTTAGTTATCCTACAGAGATAGATACATATGTGAGAAATTAATATGCATAGAGAATTTATTGCAAAAGACTGGAAGCAACTCCAAAGCCTTTTGTCATACATGTGCCTAATTTTTGTTTTATTAGTTACTCCCTCTCCTTGTCTCTTAAAAATTGTTAAATGTTAAACATTCGATTCTTTGCTGCTTGTTCTTTCTTTTCTCATCACTTTCTATACCCTTTCAGGCATTATTATGTATTGTGCTGTCATGGTTTGATGACCATTTATATGCTTATGACTTCAAACTCACTTCTCCAATCCAGATCTTTTCTCTCAGACCCAGACCCAGATCCAAGATCCAACTGCATGTATGGCATCTCCACCGAGATAATTTATGTTTCCAACATATTCAAAACTGAACAATCTACCCTCTCCCTTGCATCCAGGTTTTTCTGCTCCAGTATATCCTGATTCAGTACCTGGTACCATCATCCACTCAGTTATATTAACTTGGCACTGGGTAGTGATCTTTAATTTATGCCTTGCCATGAGGCAAACTCAATCAGGAAACCAAATTGATTCTACTTCCTAAATATCTCAAAATCTTGCCCAGTTCTTGCCATCTCTATGCCAGCACACTAGTCCAAGCTACCATCCCCCTTTTCTATGATTATTAAAAGTCTCCTAGCTGCTATCTATGTAGCCACTCTTATTCTCCAGCAATCCATTCTTCATACTATAGCCAGATTTAACCAACATGTTATTTTTAAAATGTTTAAACATGCAGAAAAGTTGAAATGATTTTACAGTAAACATTCTTATACCTACCAGCTAAATTCAGCTACTACCATTAATTGTATTTGCTTATCATTATCTATCTGTCCATCCACTGAGTGTTCTTTTAAAAATGCAAATTGGATCATGCTTAAAACGCCTTCATGACTTTTCATTCCCCTGAGAATAAAATCCAAATTCTTGCCCATGGCCTGCCAGTCCATGCATATGATGGTTGCTGCCTTCTCTCCAACTTGTTGCAAGCCATGCCTCCCTCCCCTTCCCTTTAGTCACACAGTGCACTTATCTGCTTCTCAAATGTGGCAGGTTCTATCCCATCTCATGGCCTTTGCAAATAATCTTCTTCTCTTTTTTTTTGAATAAATAAAATCTACTTTATTGCTAAATAACTTCAGGTAAATGATGTCCTGTCTTCTAAGCCCATTAACTTCAGAAAGTTTAGTCATAACACAAAAATGACAAATAGTGCTGACCACATCTTTGAACTTCCAGTGTGTCAATAACAGCATTATCCCAGCATTTTTTAGGTCAATGGAGTGAATTAAATTTACAAGAGATAAACATTTGCTTCATTACTGAACTGTCATAATTCTGGATACCTTGACCTAGAAGATGAGGTAATAGAATAAGGAACTGAGCAGGGAGTAGACTATTTTTAAAACCTTGTTCAAAGACATAGTCATATTTCAGACTCACGATACGTGTAATGTGCATGGATATTTCTTGCTGTAATGTGGTCTGATTGGGCATTTCTAGAGAGGGAACACTCAAATAACAGTAGAAGGGCCCAGTACGTTTCAAATTGTTCTCATCATGGACATGTCTTCCTTGCAGTGAGTCGAATTCTGCTTCCTGTAACTATACTCGCTGATCTTCATTCTTTCCTCTGAAGCTAATTCTAACTATTCATGTGTTTATTTTCACATGTGATGTTTACAGACGTATTTAGTGAAAAAAAAGATCTATTGGGATACTATTGAGATCATGACAGATGATAAGTTACTTTAGGCACAATATAGTTATAATGTACCTGTTCTCTTTTTTAAAATTGTTTTATTGCTTAAAGTATTACAAAGAGTATTACATGTGTCTCCTTTTTTTCCCGCCTTTGACAATCCCCTGCCCTCCCCTACCCCCAAGTGTCTTATGTCCATTTGGGTATGCTTATATGCATGCATACAAGTCCTTCGGTTGATCTCTTACCATGCCCTGCTGTCCCCCAACCCTCCCCGGCCTTCCCGCTGTAGTTTGACAGTCTGTTCGACGCTGCTCTGCCTCTGTATCTATTTTTCTTCGTAAGTTTATAATGGTCTTTATTATCCATAAATGAGTGAGATCATGTGGTATTTTTCCTTCATTGACTGGCTTATTTCACTTAGCATAATGCTCTCCAGTTCCATCCATGCCATTGCAAATGGTAAGAATTCCTTCTTTTTTACAGCAGCATACTATTCCATCAAGTAGATGTACCACAGTTTTCTAATCCATTCATCTACTGGTGGGCACTTAGGCTGTTTCCAGATCTTAGCTATGGTGAACTGTGCTGCTATGAACATAGGGGTGCATATATCCTTTCTGATTGCTGCTTCTGTTTTCTTGGGATCTATTCCTAGAAGTGGGATCAAGGGGTCAAATGGGAGTTCCATTTTCAGTTTTTTGAGGACACTCCATACTGTCTTCCATAGTGGCTGCACCAGTCTGCATTCCCACCAGCAATGCAGAGGGGTTCCTTTTTCTTCACATCCTCTCCAGCACTTGTTGTTTGTTGATTTGCTGATGATAGCCATTCTGACAGGTGTGAGATGGTAACTCATTGTTGT